TCGTTAAAGTGACCGGAATTAAACTTCATACTCATTCTAATAATTTATTGAACGATTAAATAATTACAGTTAATATACATTCTTTTGAACACAAATATTAAAGTAACTTTATACTTATCTTGGTAATTTACTGAACAATTAAATGATTATGGTTAATCTCATTCTCTTGAAACAAAATCGTTAAAGTGGATGAATTGAATGGCAACTCCAAAGGCAAAGCACCAAGGAAGAAGGCGACAAAACCCACCTACCAATGTAAACTCAATAAAATTTGACTCCAACGACGATGACAAATCCTATGACAGCTCCAATAACAACTCTAGAGAAAGGCGATTCTAACGGTGCTGTTCAACTGTTAGAAAAAAAAAAATATAAACATGTATACAATCATCACTAATATAAAAACCTGATGATCATCCGGAACAGGGTCAGTGAGTCAGAGCACACGTGACCCAGAAAATCTTACCTACATCCTGGATCTGTTCTTATCAATCAGAACAAGTCTGATGAAAAAAAATAAATTAAAATTTTTTTTTCATCATGATAATAAATCTACTTACTGGTTAAACTACTTTCAACAATTAAAAATTGAACTTCGACCTATTAATTTATGTGCTTGAGAGAACCTCAAATTAATATTAATAAAAATAACCAAAAAATTAATTACTATGCTTTTTAAAGTACTGTGTTCATCAAATGATCACCTATCAGACGAAAATCTGAAAATTTTGGCAAGTTTTTCATAAATAAATTCAATTAACATGTCTAGAAATAAAAATTTCTAATCTATTAGATAAGTAAACCCAAATTTACAAGTTTACTACAATTTCAAAACCCGGTTTTTTTAAATTCGAGTTGATTCGGTTTTACGAGTTTATTAAATTCACAAAATCGAATTATTTGAGTTTATTTAAATTCGGGTTAAAACTGGTTTTAATTCGGGTTAAGAAATTAAAACCAAATTGCATAAATAAAATCAGTTCCAATCTCTAAAACAGGAAAAATAAAAAAATTTTATAGAATCAGGATAAAGTGTAAAGAGAAATTTCACCTCTTTATGTAATAAGAATACACTATTATAACCTGTGCAAGGCTAAAAAATTATATAACAAATGCAACGATTGTATATCTCTAATGTAAAGCTTTTCTTAATGTACAAAGTTATTTCGACTTATGACTCCTTTTGGATATTTCTTTAACTGGAGGTTCCAATTCAACTTCTCCAGGGTAGTACTGTATTTATAAACAAACACGTCACATAGTTGCATTCTACTGAGTTTGTCTGAATTTGGAAAATAAACAATGCCGATCTTTTGGAGGAAGTAAGCCAAATCTCTACTTTTTGTAGAAAATTTTTGGAAGACCAACAGGAGGGCAAGGAAAAGAAAGAGAAGAGTTACCAAAACCAAAAGAAAGAGTGCTGCTTTAAAAAAAAAAGTTTTGTTGTTTTCTCTGTGTTTTTCTTTGAAGTAACGATCTAGAAACTTTGTTGACGAAAGTAAGCTTTTTGCCCACACTCCACCAAGATTTTTTATACAAGAGTGCCTCTTGCCAGTTAACTCGTATAATGATACTCTTGGCTTGCATGCCAAATGTCTTTTTAGAAGAGTCCCATATAGCAAAACATTAACCTCTAGATAAACCGTAACGTAGATCATGACTCTTTAACAAAATTTCTATTAGTGGGAAAATTTGGTTTTAATGATCATCGGAAAGAGTTCATATTAGATAGTGATTCACAACTTATTAATTAATTATAAAATTACTCTAAAAATATCAATTAGTAAATAATCTTTTGGTTCTGCATTACTTTACTGATATTATTTCACCAATAACTCATCTAGCTAACACCAATTCAAGTGATAACTCGCTAACAATATATGCAAATTTATTAGATAAATTTGCTTGATTACTATTGATACCCTCTATATACCTACAACTAATCAAGTATTAACTTTAATCTTATGTAATATCGATTAAATAAACTTTTGGTAAAATGATTGTCACGAAAGTATACAGTATCAAATTTTAGATTTGATGCTATCTTTCTGATCACTAACGAAAAGCATTCTTAATATCTATCTTCATAGGTTTATTAAATAATCTAATAAGCATTATAAAAAAACCTAAAACTCTAATCACCTATATTTTATAGAGAGATTCTGATTAGTTAAAGATTTAAAATTCATATAGTATTTTAAATATGAATTTGTAATAAAATTAATATATTGATTATTAGCAAGTTACACTGTGAGAGCTGCTTAAAAACACTTTAAGCTAGCATAAATTCAAGCATTTTACAATAGCAAGGGTCTATAATTTGAATAATTTGAGTAGTTTACCTTAAACATTAAATGACAGTAATGTTTTGATTCACTAATTAGATTCAAAAAACATTGCATGGTCGTAAGGACCTATAATTTAAATAGCTTATTCTAACCAATTAATAAATAATCTTTTTACCTGCCAATTAAATCAATATTAATAATGTAAAATTAAAATATACTACTTAACCTGAATAGCTTATTATCAATTGATCTTTTATGCTTAATGACTTAAATCTATAAAGAAAAATGTTGTATTATAAAAATCTAGTTAATAAATAATGTTTGCAAACAAGATTAACACAAATAAAAAAATATTAAGTAGTAGTTAAATTTTTTTGAACAGTAATCTCTGTTTAGTTGGCAAAGATTGTAACGAAGTTCTTGAGCTTTCATGTACTAGCCTTTTGAATAAACATAAAATCTTGCAAGTTTTCAAGTCTCATTTACTTTTTTGACGAAAGTTGATTGGTGCTGATTATTTTTAATTATTTAAACTACACATTCTCTACTGTCTACTTATGCGCTTATTTGTGAGTTTTAGTAATAAATTTGGGTGTAAAAAAATTCCTGAAGAATGCTGACCAAAGGATGTTCAAAAACCAATCAAATTTGAGATTTGACATATGGATCATTCTAGAACCCGATTTCCTAATTTAGTATATCCCTGACTGTATTATGTATATTGTTTATTTGTTTACATTTTTTTAACTAATCAAATCGAATGTTTACTATGCTTAACTACACCAAATTTAATAAATTTTTTTTATTTAAATTTTATAGATTTAAAATTTAAATAAAAAAAAGTCTAATAATTACCAAATAACTTTGCTTAAATTAAAATATTTTAATTTAAAAGAGATGCAGTGCAAAACAGTTAGAAATATCTACTTTTTTATAAAAATGCCAAATTTTGAGATTTATACTCAAATCTAATTGGTTAATCTTTGTATAACCAACTCTGATTAGTTAAAAATTTATAACCCAATTTTTTTTTATATTAACTGCCAAATTTTTAATTAAATATAAACTTTAAGCTTTAATAACTTTTTAAATTTATAATAAAAATAAAAATCTATTTTAACAGAATTGTAGTTTAGACTAAAAGCAACAAATCTGTAAAACAGATTTTTTAAAAAATTATAAGCATTTTTGTATTTTATATAAAAAGTGAATATTTCTAACTATCCAGTACTGTATAAATATTAAATTTGAAAGATACAAATATCAATTTCTATTTATACCTCTAAAAAAAATCTTTTTAAAATTTTTTAATAAAAATATTATACAATATAACATATATAGTATATAATATTTTAATTAAAATAGTTAAACAGTAACTTAATACCCTTATATTTATTAACATCTAAACTATTAAAGTTTAGATATTTATGTAAATAATGTCTAGACATTAAGTCTATAAATAATTATTTATTAAGTACGATTTCTTTCGTAACTAAATCTTACAGCATGAATAAATATGTGTCAGTTTTCAGGGTGGAAACGTCTTTCATCTTTACCGGCAGTCAATATTTCCACACCAGTCTCAGTAACTAATAAAGTATGCTCAAATTGAGCGCTTCGTTTACCGTCTTCGGTGACACAAGTCCAATTATCTGGCCAGTGACGATCACGCCATACACCTGAAAATGAAAAAAAGATTAAATTGATGCACGCTACGTATAACGTACCAAATAAACCAACGACAAACGCACCAGAATTTATCATAGGCTCAATCGTAAAGACATGTCCGGGTTTCATTATGCCAACAGCTTTGTTCTCTGAAGTGTCGAGCATATGAAATATTAAATGCATGAACGTAAAAAAAAGGATAGAAAATCTTTAGAATGAAGCTTACTTGTATAGTGAGGAACATTTGGTGGACAGTGAAATAGCCT